TATATATATATATATATATATATATATATATATATTTTTTTTTTTTTTTTCCTTTTTGTCTTTTTTCGTGACCGGTAACGGGATCGCAACCCTCGGTGTCGCACCCGTACCACGACTGGCAATGGGATCGCAACCCTCGGTGTCGCGCCCGCACCACGCTCAACCAGTGAGTGGACCGGTCTCTATATGGGATCCGAACCCTCGGCGGGAGCGCTGCCGCACTCCCAAGCGGTGCACTCTACCAAGTGCGCCACCAGGCCGGCCCAAAACAGGTATATTTTAAAGTCAAGAAAGAAAGGTTTGGGGTCCTTTATCTTTTCTCAATTCTTCTCTTCTCTACATACGGTACTTTACTCTTAAAGACTGCCGTGGAAGAGCAGCTGACCAAATTTGAAGTGTGACACTATGGGGACAATCACAGAGCCAAGAGAAAACTGAACAACGATGCTGTCAGCATCTTCATGCTTAACCTTCCCGTCAAGCAGAGAGCAGCTGGCAGAGATAGACCCCACGGCCTTGGACGAGGCGGGGGTCAGAAGAAAAGGGCTGATGTCTGAACAGTGTGCCCCATCTACAGCCCCAGAAATCCACTAGATCCCACAGCCCTACGAGGCAAATGCTCCCAACCTCCTCATCCTCATCCAGAGGAGGAAGTGGAGGCACGAAGCAGGCCAGAGGCCTCACCACCAGTAAATGATGAAGCGGGAGGACAAGCTCCAGGCATTTGGCCCCCGAACCACTACCCACCACCCAGGGTGACTTTGCCAAGGCAAGGTACAGTTAATCGATTAAGAACAACTGCAGTTACCTGAAGTTGGGTAACTCACGGCAGTGGATGGTGTTGGCTGAGGCAGAGAGGCTATGAGAGACATAAAAGTGCAGGTAGGGCATCTCTCCCCATGCTTCCTAGACCCGAGAGGCAGCATTGCTTATTTGAATCAGAAAGGTACAATGTCTTGTTTTGGAGACAAACTGCACCCCATCTGGGCATCTCAAAATGGCCCTGAGTTACCATGGTTACAACCACCCGATTCCCAGGTCACTGGGTTCTGCTGCTGGATGCTGTAGTGTCATTTCTTTTCTTTTTTTTTTTTTTTTTGTAAACCATAGCCACAGTGACAGTGCCTTGTGTGAACACCTATCTTTCCAGTTGGTTTGGTTTTGTGATTCATCCTGGACGTGTGTGAGGGTCTTGCCTCCCAGAACAAGTGTCTGTCCATAAAGGGCAGAACCACATTTGTCTGAGGACATACACCAGCAATCTCAGTGCAGGGAGGGAGATGAAAGGTCCCCAAGTGGGCTGTGGATCTAGACGAGGAGCTCCAGGCGGGCATGGAAGAGAACTTGGAGCTGCTGCCTGGCAGCCCTTCCAGGCACCTCTGGTTCACCCCCCACAGCTCTGCCCGGGGCCCTGGTCCCAAACCTCTGGGCTTTTTGAGCCCCCAGCCCTGTCCTCTGGTGTCACACTCAGCATGTGGCTTCAACTCCTGTTTTTCTCGGCACGTTGATTCTGTCCCTTGACTCATCTCATCTCCTTCTGGGACCTCCACACTGCCTTGTCCCTTCATCCTATCTCAGGGGGTTGCTGCCAGGTCTAAACAATACACAGTTTGCTTCTTCCCAGCCAAATCCAGAAGGACGCAGAAATAGGCGGGGACTTTTGACTCCAACCACTGAGTTGATTTGCAGAAACTCAGCTGGGATAAAACCGAGGAGTAAGAACTCTCAGCTAGGACCTGGGCCCCCAGCTGTGAGGGAAGACCTCTGTGTTACCTGTAAAAGGAGGGGAATGAACCAAAGAGCTGGCCCCCAGAGGCTCGCCTCCTCACAGGCGGGATGCGAGGTGACAGGTGGTGCCTCTGCTGTCTTCAGATATGCATATTTATTGTATTCAAATTTTAAAATTTACATTTAAATCTATTCTGATTAAGGATATTTTCAGATATGCATAGGTTTGAATTGATTAGATTAGAAAGTTCACTGTTAATTTTAACTTTTTAAACAGATTGCGTACTGTTTTATTGCTCTGTATTTGTTTTAATGTATTGCCTATTTGTGGCAAGTGGTCCTGGCTCTCTGTTTATGGTGGTGACATAATGTTTCCTTGTAAACTGAATTCATTTAAGTAAAAAAAGAAGAGTCAATTCAAGGGAAAGTATTAAGAAAGTTGTAGTGTGGGTAATAGCTGGGTATGGCAGGGCTGGTGCAGGGGATCTGAATGGCTGGAGCTTGGGAACAGCGGCTGGGGAACTGTCTAGGATTTCCCCACTGCTCTGAGTGCAGTTGGGCAGAGGCTCAAGGAGTCAGAATGTCATTAGCCCTCCACCTGGCTCAGAATCAGGGCCCACCTGAGCAGATGGCGCTGGCATCCTCGTGGTGGCCGCAGTTGTGCACGAGCCAGCCGCTGTGTAGGCACTGCCACAACCTGGCTTCGGTCCCCACACACTCCACATCGTCCAGAGCAATGGGGCCCAGGCCTCGCCCGAAATGTGCCTGCCCGAGGGCCGCGATGGCCGCACCACAGCCTAGCTGCCTGCACACCACCTGGGCATCGCGCAGGTCCCAGCTGTCATCGCACACGGTGCCCCAGCTGCTGTTGTAAAGTAGCTCCACGCGGCCCTCGCACCGGTGGCTGCCGCCAGTCAACCGGAGGGCCACATCTGGGAAAGGCAGACACCCTCATCACTGCTCTGGGGGCTGCCCCTTTGCCTTTGTGCTGGAGGACCACATGGGCATTTCCTCTGAGGTAACTAGCTTTTGGGGAACCCACCCTCCTACTTGGGGAAGAAACCATTGTGGGTGGAAGTGGCTGCAAAGGCACTTTGAGTTTGGTCTCCCACGTCAATGTGATTTCAGGGGGCAGGGGGAGGGGAGAGTATTTTTAAAAGATTTTTCCACAGACTGGATTCTTTGTCTACTTCACTGAGGTTAAAGAAAGCCCTGGAAAGAGAGCCTTGTGTGAAGTGAAAATTGCCAAGCATGCAAACACTCTTACTGTGGAATAGCGTTCTGCTGTAGACTGGATGCCCCCTAACCTCACTGAAGCTCGATCCCCAATGTAACTGTTGAGGGTGGGGAATCCTATTATGATCATTGAAAAGTGGGGCCTTGAAGAGGTGATTGGATTGTAGGACCATGCCTCGTGAATGGATTAGTAATGGTGGCCAGGGGTGTGGTTCTGAGGGCTTTTAAAGGAGGGCACTGAGACTCTGGCTCTCTCTCTGCTCCACCATTTTCTGCATGTGAGACCCCTGCATTGCTGTAAAGCCACCACCACAGACCCTCTCCAGATGTGTTCCCTGCACTGTGGACTTCCCAGCCTCTGAAACTGTAAGTAATAAATTTCATTTTCTTACAAAGTACCCAGCTCCAAGTATTTTGTTATAAGCAACAGAAACAGTCTAATACATGTTCTTTAGACCAGGTGAAAAGAAGTTTTGGATGAAACAGGCTCCAAGACAGGGTCAGTCAAGCATCCTTTCTCAGCACAGTGGGATGTGCTTCTAATACTGCAATATATATGTGGATGCGTTATTCCAGGGCACTGCTGGGTGTTCCGTCAGCTTCTCCAAATCCTATCTTGGGAATAGACTAAAGAGCTGGGGAGATCCCTTTCAAATTCCTAGTGCCCAGTCGAGTGAGTTGGTTCAGCTTCATGATCATTATCAAGCAGGGCTAGAATGATGGAAGGACCTACCCGTAACATCCTCATCCTGCACGAGAGACTCGTAGGATGCGTAGAAGCCGATGTTGGTGACAATAGCATCGCTGTGGAACACCACCGTCAAGCGGTTGGAGGAGGAGGTGAATATCGGGGTTGTCTGGGAACAGAACCTTCCCAGCGAAGAAGATTCACTTTGTGGGCCATCAAAGATCTCAATGAAGTCGTACGGACAGCCATAGAAGTTTTCCATTCTGTGAAGTGAAAGGTATCACCCAGACACAGCCCACTGGGGCTGTCTTCCCTGTAAGCATTGCCTGGAATGGCTCAGGAAGGGATCAGGAAAAGCTACCCGACACCTACATCTCTGCACACAGACTGGAGGAAGTCATGACCCTACTGATGTGAGCAGTAGGTATCCTCCTGTTTCCAAATATCTTTTAATTGTTAAAGTTTTAATTCTACTGTATTTATGAATATGTATTACAAGCACATGGAATAGAACTTAAGTGGTATTGATGGACACATGCTGAAAAGTAAAATTTTCTCCCACCGGTGACTAGTTCCCCCCTCACTTCACTCCCTTTCCCAAAAGCAGCTTCAATGATTTTTTGTTTTTAATTTCCTTCCAGAGATAGTCAATGGCAGCATATTATACTATACTGTCCATGGTTTCCTTGCAGCTCATCCCATAGCAATACACACTGTGTGTGTGGCAGCAATATGTGGATGTACTGCAGTCTACGAACCCATCCCCTCCTGATGGACAAGTAGATTGTTTCCAGTCTCTTGCTACTATAAGAATGCTGCCATAGTCATCCTTGGTGCACATTGGACTTTTTCTGTAGATCAAATTCCTGGAACTGGAATTGCTGGCTTAAAACATCTGTGTTTTTAAAATTTTGATCAACATTACAATTAGCCTCCAAGGCCTAGCTTGCTCTTGAGAATTAAATATGGAAATTTTGTTTCGGGGTACGGTGGGAGAGGGAGGCCGTAAAGCTGGTGTGCAGAACTGGGTGAAGACGAGAGTAACACAGGAAATACCACTCACCTTACCACTGCAAACTTAAGTTTGACATGAGCCCTGACATCCACTTGTATGTCCCATGCACATACCACATTTGTGGGGTACTTTTTAGGATAAAAAGGACTGGAGAAGGAGCCTGAATGATTTGTGAGCAAACCACCACAATGGAAATTTTCATCTGTAAGAAACAGTGAAGAAACCCCATCAGAGGGGACACTGACCTCTGCTGGTGTTTCTAGAGGGGGTCAAGAGGGGACAGATTGAGAACAGAGGTAAAGAAAACTTGTTCTAGGGCTGATGTGCTGATGACTAAAAAAGTTAGCTTGGGAGAGTACCCTGAGTTCTCAGTATTAAACGTATTTTTGTGAGGAGATAATGATAGTGACCGTGCTCAAAGGGCTTTATTAACCCATGTGCACAGATAGCTCTAAGTGGGCATTCTAATGAGAAGGGTGCAGGGACAACGCAAGCCACGTTGTCTGCTCTCAGGGTGATGTGTTGCAAAACAGCTGCACAACTGAGAAGATTCCCAGTCATATTACACACAAATTCTAGCTGGAATCAAGGTCAAGGTTGCCTACAGCATCCAATTTACGGCTGAAATATTGGACTTGGTGTGGAATTTGTTAGAGGTCCCTCAGTGCTGCAGCTTCTCATATGTACAAGGAAGAGAGAATGTTCATCTACGTACTGGAAGTGCTGACACTGAAAATGAAGCAAACACAAAACCACTCGAAGAGCTTACATAACGCTGACGTACCTGCAGGGGGGCTGTTGCCAGTGGAGTCTGTGAAAATGCATAGAAAAAAACGGTACTGTGAGCAAGGATTTTTAGCCAGAACACTCCTTTGAAATACTCAAAAACACTGACACTCAAAAGCTGTGATTTCTCTGTGCCCCAGTGAACAGAGATGACTCGGGCTCCTCAAGAGCTGGGACATTTATGGGCCGGCCCGGTGGCGCACTGGATAGTGCGCCGCTTGGGAAGCGCAGCGGCGCTCCCATCCGAGGGTTCGGATCCCACATACAGACCGGTTCCCGCTCACTGGCTGAGCGAGGCGCGGGAGCAACGCCGGGGGTTGCAATCCTGTTGCCGGTCCCGGTCCGGTACGGGGGCAACACTGAGGGTTGCGATCCGTTGCCGGACACGGAAAAAGACAAAAGACAAAAAAAAAAAAAAAAAAAAAAAAAAAAAAAGCGGGGAA